CACAGCACTCAGCACTCTGGAATGGAACTGCCTATTTCATTAACATTCCAGTGGGCCATATCTCCATCAGGGCTGAGACCCCTGACTGTCTCACGTAAAATCTACCCTCTGACTCCAAACAGTGATGGAGCTGTGGTAGAAGCTTAGAAGCTTAATTAATACTTGATACATAATGCTTTTAAAAAAATTTGCTTGAGACATTTCAAACATCCAGAAAAGTAAAAAACATCTTATAATAGTATAACAGATCTTCATACCCACCAGCTATATTCAGCAATTGTTAATATTTAGCCATATTTTCTTTACCTAATCATCTACCTCTGTATATTTATTTGACACAATATTTAAGATAAAACACAGAGAAAATGAGTGAATGTTTAAGTCTTACCAACACATCCGTAGAACATGTAAGATAAGCTACTGAAAAAATGGAGGAAAAGGAACCATAAAGAAAATCCTCTAAACCTCTAATTAAGCCTAGTTAAGTAAAATTCAGAAATGAGACTGTTAATCTCTGCATCACAGTTTATAAATGTACCCTCATTCCATCATTTAATTCTCAGAAGTCTTATAAGGCAATTTGATTAATAAACAAGAGGAATCCCATGAAGAACCTGTAGCTCTAGGAGGGAAGGGGAAAGAAAATCAATATTTCAATATTTTCTCAGTGTCCATTATGCACCCAACAATTATGTTACCTCTAATTATTCTCACAACAAACAACATGTATTATATCTCTACTTTGAAGATGAAAATGGAGCTTAGTGAGGTCAAGCTATTTGTCCAGCTCACAAGTGGTAAGATCACGGCTCACTGTAGCCTTGAACTCTTGGATTCAAGGGATCTGCCTGCTTCAGCCTCCTGAATAGCTGCAACTACAGACATGTGCCACCACACTGGCTAATTGTTTTTACTTTTTACTTTTTTTCTTTGTAGAGACATGGGGTCTCGCTATATTGCCCAGGCTGGTCTTGAACCCCTGGCCTCAAGTGATCCTCCAGCGTCAGACTCCAAAAGTGTTGGGATTACACTCATGATCCACCATGTCAGGCCTAAATAAAATTTTAGTTAAACGTTATAAATTAAAAAAATTTTTACTGTAGCATGAGGTAGGTAAAAATTATCTTATTGCTTTTATGTATACAAGGGATGCTTAGATTAATCTAGTCCTAATTCTTACTACCTCTATGGTATAGATGAGGCAGGGCTAATTAAAGAAGTGACCACAGAACAAGAAGAATCAGAAGTGAAGGTTCTGGTGCTGTGGTAATGCCACTGTCTAACCCTAGAAAAGTCACTCAACCTCTCCTCACTTAAGAACGTTCATCTGTAAAACGAGATTTTGGATTAGATTATCAATGAGGTTCCTTCCAGCTGTTTTAAAGGCAAAACACAAATGAAACCTATAATTCTTAGTGATTTACTTCCATCATCATCTGGTGAGGGCCAAGTTGTAGGTCTTACTGATCCCAGGCCTATCCTCTGTGCATTCCCAGTAAATGTACTCACTGGGGGGCCTGTCAGTGCAGGCCAACTTTAATTAGAATGTTGGTCAGTACAAGTGCAATTACAAGAAACTTCAAAATCTTCAAACCTCCAGAAGCAGGTGTCCCACAGATTCTGACACAATAACTAATGATGAAGGCTATGCCTTTCAAAAAAGAAGTCATGGAAAAGTTTCATTCCAGAGGAAACCAGCATTCATCCCTAACCCTGTGAATCCTCTGCCAGGCAAACTAGCCTGCTTACCACCCTTATACTGATTTTTTTAAAAAAGATTCTTTACTCCATTAGATAGTATGCTTTAAGAGCTCTGCCTTGGTCACCTCTATATACCTAGCTTTTACCATAATACTTGGCATAGAGTTGGTGATCAATACATGTTTATGGAATGAATAGCTAACCTCACCATCCCTGAGTATTCCAAACCAACTGACCCTCATGGCTCAGCTCAGATGTCATCTCTACCTCCCCCTCCCCAAACTCCTGTTATATTATAACTGTATTTCTCCTATGGTACATCTCATTTTCTTATTATAAGACTCAGGTGATACCTGAGTCTTATACATCATGAGGTATAAAGTACAAGCATGTTGTGTGTGGTGCAGGAACAGATTTGGATGAGAAACAAGAAGTGACACCCAGTAAAGGAATCTCAGGAACCACTTAATAGCAGATAGGATCACTCACTCGAGGGAATGATCAATACAGCTTTCCCTAGGGGATTGGTTTCAGAACCTTCCTTCCCCCACAAGAATCCATTCATGCTCAAGTCCCCCAATTGGCCCACTGAATCAAGCGATATGAAAAGCTGGCTGTCCATGGGTTTCACATATCATGAATACTGTATTTTCAGTTCACTTTTGGTTGCATATTTGGAATCCACGGATATGGAGGTTTGATTGCATTTACTGAAAAAAAAAATCACTTATAAGTAAACCCGTGCAGTTCAAACCCATGCTGTTCAAGGGTCAACGGTACTAGTTCCTGAAAGGGATAAATAAAGGAGGGTGCAACCCAGAAGGGATATAGAGAGAAGGGAGAGGGATTAATGATGGTTGTCTCTTTGGTTCTCTGCCATTTCCGACCACCTTAACCCATTTCTGTTATCTATCAGGGATGTGTAAATAATGGTCTACAGGCCAAGTGTAGTCCATTTTTTTTTTTTTTTTTGTAAATAGCTTTACTGAACACAGCCAAGGCCTTTTTTTTTTTTTTGAGACCGAGTCTTGCTCTGTCACCCAGGCTGGAGTGCAGTGGTGCAATCTTGACTCACTGCAAGCTCCGCCTCCCAGGTTCATGCCATTCTCCTGCCTCAGCCTCCCGAGTAGCTGGACTACAGGCTCCTGCCACCACGCCCAGCTAATTTTTTTTGTATTTTTAGTAGAGACGGGGTTTCACCATGTTAGCCAGGATGGTCTCAATCTCCTGACCTTGTGATCCGCCCACATCGGCCTTCCAAAGTGCTGGGATTACAGGCGTGAGCCACGGCGCCTGGACAAGGCCATTTCTTTATGTATTATCTTTGGCTATTTTCACACTACAATGAGTTGAACAGTTGTGACTAACACTTATATGACCAGCAAGGCAAAAATATTTACAATTTGGCTCTTTAAATACACGTTTGTCCCATACCCCCATATATAAGGAGATTTATAAAGCGACACCCTATTTAGGTAATGGGCCACCTTTTCTTATTACTTTCTCTTCACCACCCTGCAAGATAGGATGATCATATAATTTATCATCCAAAATGAAACGTTTGGAGGGTGAAAGGGGGTGCTACCTAGACTATTTTCCAGGAATACAGAATTGAATCAGGACTGTCCCAGACAGACCCCACATATGGACCATCTGCTGTAAGGGCTAGCAGTACAAGATCAGTTTTCAAAGGGCACTCATGATCTGTGGCTGCAGACATTAGGAAGGCTTGCGACAGTTTCTCTTCCTGGTTCTTCCTATTTCTAATGCCCTCAGGTACCTTTCCACTGACCCCTGTCCCAACTCTGCTCTAGAGCCTGTTCTGGCCCCCAATATTCCAGCTGTTGGGGCACCATGCAGGGTACCATATCTCCACTTTGTTTTGTTGAGACGGCCGAGTAACGCTCTGTCACCCAAGCTGGAGTGCAGTGGTGCGATCTTGGCTCACTGTAACCTCTGCCTCCTGGGTTCAAGTGATGCTCGTGCCTCAGCCACCCGAGTAGCTGGGACTACAGGCATGTGCCACAACGCCCAGCTAATTTTTATATTTTCAGTAGAGACAAGGTTTTGCCATATTGACCAGAGTGGTCTGGAACTCCTGACCTCAGATGATCCGCCCACCTCAGCCTACAAAAGTGCTCCATATTTCCACCTTCACTAGAATAAAAGGGGAAAACATCTATTCATCCACACTAAAAAAACTAATTATTCCAAGTCAATACAGTGAATTTTATACCTGCAAATTTTAATATCAAGACAACTTCTTAAAATGCTATTGTCCTTTAAGTAGAAGAATTTCAGTTTCTCTTTGCAAATATTTAAAAAATGACCACCAGTCATAGCATTTATTACAATGAGGCCCCAAAACAAATGTGGTATATTATTCATTGATTTGAGCTTTTAATATTCACCATTACTGTTTGGAGAATTACTGTTTAAGAATGAGGTTTCTAATTTTATCATTCCAGAATTCTTGTAAAAAGAAGAAAACTAATACGCCCCCCCACACTGTTTTTTTTTTTAAGTAAAAATGTTTGATGCTGTAGAGAAATAGGAGTAAAATAAAAGATGTTTGAGCACCTTTGATGAAATATAGGATGTCACACCACACTTTGTGAGACTATTCTGTGTGAACAATAATAGCTTGTAGCTTTGAGACCTCTCTGAATGGCTTTCCAAATATTGCCATCTGGTGGAATTTCAGTTAATTGTTCCTTTGTTCCAAGGGCTCCTGGAGATGACTCTTGAAGGCATTACTTAGAGAGACTTGGAGTACTAGTTGGAAATAACTGAAGGTCAAAATGATTGCATCTCAAAAACAAATCCCAAACTAAAAAAAATGAGGCTTTCTAGGTTCCTCATCTCTGTCACAAGCATGCTTGCATGCTCTCATTCTCTCTTTCTGCCTCTCAAAGCCAACAGAGTGGCTTCCTTGATTCTTAACATACCAAATAAAAAATCATTTATTCATAAATAGCGATGTCATGAGTTCATTTTTACCATATCTTGATATTCTACCCTCCCCACCTATCATAAGATTTTTCAAAATCAAACTTTAATTAATTGGCTAGACCATTTTTAGAGGAATTGCTAATAGCAATTAATTAGCCCTTCGTACACTTGGGAAATGGAATTTGGCTTGAAACAATAGTATTTTAAAAGAGTGTATTTACTCAAATATTGGCTTTAATTGTATACTGGAATTTTGAAAATAAATTTGTTACAAGGACAATGTTACTCCTCACTTTCAATTGATTTTTGAGTAAGGAGTCATGCAACATAATTTATATAAACCTTACCTTGAGCATCCAGGCTTTCTCCCTGTCTGTGGAAATGAACTGTTCCTCTGGGAAACAGGACACTGGGATAGTAAAAATGGAAGGAAAAAGAGAGTGCAAGCATTTAATATCTTGAAAATACGGAAGCAAAGAGTTATAATTTAGTTCAGTGGGTGTGGCCAGCAATGGAAAAAAATTAAAGAAAAAATACACACCAAATATCCAAAAGTCAATCGATCTTACCATATGAAAGAGATTAAGTCAGCCAGATAATAGAATTATACTCTCAATCTCTATTATTAGATCAATTCTCACATTGATTAATAGTTGATAAAAACTTAGTATAATGTCACTCCTATGAAAATAATTTTTCTTTTGTTTTTCCCCTTGCCTGATAGTCTGATGTGATGGGAATCATATTGGCAGATAACCCCAAGAAGCAGTGCCTCTAGTGGGGTATCAAATACCGACATCAATTAAAGTACTGAATTCCCCAAACTTAGGTTTATCCAGGTTTTATATCTAGTATCAACACAGGCTTTTTCTAGTCAAAAAGATTTTTAATTTCGACAGGATAAGCATTATAAACGACTTTAAAAGTGTACGTATCAATAAGCAGTAATTTAGTAATTTACTTTCCTTTTTGAGACTCAGTCTCGCTCCATCGCCCAGGCTGGAGTGCAGTGGCGCGATCTCGGCTCGCTGCAAGCTGCGCCTCCCGGGTTTATGCCATTCTCCTGCCTCCGCCTCCCGAGTAGCTGGGACTACAGGCGCCTGACACCACGCCCGGCTAATTTTTTTGTATTTTTAGTAGAGACGGATTTTCACCGTGTGTTAGCCAGGATGGTCTGGATCTCCTGACCTCGTGATCTGCCCGCCTTGGCCTTCCAAAGTGCTGGGATTACAGGCGTAAACCACCGTGCCCGGCCAATTTACTTTCTTTATATGAATTAGCTATTTATTTTCAAAACATGCTTTGACTAAATGAGGCAGTAAGACAGGAAACTGATGAGGGACAAATCCAATTCTGGAGGCTGAGAAATGCATGAGCTTTGAGTTTGCTTTGAGAGTCCAGTGTTTGGGGAATGAATGGTTACGGAGAAGGTTGCTATGGTTCAATGGAATGCTGCTATAAATCACCTGACATGCATATACGTGTGAGCCTTAACTCTCTTCCCCACTTTCCACCGAAGCCCTACATTGCTCTTCTGTGTTTTCTATGACCATTTCAGAAATGACTTAGGTGTTTATTTAGCTTAAAATCAATTGTGTAAAAATAAAATATTTGTGATAGATCTAACACGATGTGATTATCCCCAGACATAGTTCTGGAGATGCTGCTGTTAGATTTTTTTTTTTTTTAATTAAAAGGGAGAAGGTAGGTATTTTATAGTTTTTCTCTAAGGGAAAAAGGAGATGGTTAAAAAAAGGCAAAGAACAAAATGGCAAGTGTCAAGAGAATAAAAGTAAAGGTGACAGCTGAATTGTTATACTACTCAGTGAAGGATTTCAAAAATAATTAATAAACTTGGGCTTGTTTAAAAATCAGAAAACTTAACATGAATAGTGTACCTAAATAGTGTCAATAACTAAATTTAGGTATATTGACTACAATCTAAGTTTTTTCCTTCAGATACAATAAGTTGAATTTCCTTACATATTTTGCAGCAGAATTTAATTTTATGATTACTTTATATCTTTCTATAATTTAATGATAGTTGATAAACCTAAAATTCAGATTTTAACAATATTGGTTCCCATCCATGTCAGTTTCTATTCTTAAGTCCTTCAATTTTCCAGAAATTTGAACTGAATCAGAATAAAATTTTCATTTATCTACTTTATTTAATTGTACCTAGTAGCTGTGCAAGCCACTGGCCACCAAGCTACGGAGCAGGAACGTAAGGTTTCTAGTTTATCTATAAAGCAGATAATTAGCCCTTAGAAAATTCAGAATTGTCTGTATACAACTGGTCTGTTTCTATTTTCTGACAATGGTCGGTTGCTAATTTTTCAGCATCCACAATGGATCAGTTTAGAGAAGAATGACATTATTTATTGAAAACCTTATGCACCAGTCATTTCACATATTTTATCTAATTTAATCCTCAAAACCGTCTTATTGTAAATGAAGAAACTGAGGCTCAGAGTAGTGGGGCAATTTGCCCAGTATCATGCAGCTAGAAAGGGATAGATTTTTAATTGAGTCTGGCAGACCAGTAACTATCTCCTTTCTCTTTCATCTGTGTGTCCACACTAAAATACCTTAATAGCAGTCATTTGACGTAGATTAGAAATACCTGGAGAGCTTTCACTCCACCATCATAAGTCCAGGACCTAGCATATGGTAGGTGCTCATGAAGGCCCAGTCTTGCAAGGATAGAGGTCTAGCCTTCCCATGCAGCCTTTGCTAGTGGGGATAGGAGTGAGGCAAAGCTTGCTCCTGTTGTGTTTGGCAGGAGTAGAGCTCTTAGTGTCTGCAAGTCTCACACTTTACATAAAAACAAACTCAAAATGGATCATGGCATAAATGTAAAATGTAAGACTACAAAACTTGTAGAAAAAACAAAAAAGGCCGGGCGGGGTGGCTCAAGCCTGTAATCTCAGCACTTTGGGAGGCCGAGACGGGCGGATCACGAGGTCAGGAGATCGAGACCATCCTGGCTAACATGGTGAAACCCCGTCTCTACTAAAAAAATACAAAAAACTAGCCGGGCGCGGTGGCCGGCGCCTGTAGTCCCAGCTACTCGGGAGGCTGAGGCAGGAGAATGGCGTAAACCCGGGAGGCGGAGCTTGCAGTGAGCTGAGATCCGGCCACTGCACTCCAGCCTGGGCAACAGAGCGAGACTCTGCCTCAAAAAAAAAAAAAAGAAAAAACAAAAAAAACAGGAGAAAATCTTTAGGACTGGGGCTGGCAAAGTGTTCTCAACCTTGACACCAAAAACACAAGCTGTAAGAGGAAACATTGGTAAATTGGACTTCATCAAAGTTAAAAACTTTTGCCTATGTGAAGAGGATATAAATACAAGATATAAACTAGGAGAAAATATTTGCAAGCCCAATATCTGACAAAGAACTAGTGTCTAAAATAAAGAACTCTCAAAATGCAACCAAATAAACCAACTTAGTTGGAAAATGGGAAAAAGATATGAACAGACATTTAACTGAAGAGGATATAGATATATAGAGAGCAAATAATATTAAATGACATGCAACATTATGAGCCTATAGATAAAAGAAAATTAAAACTACATGAGACATCACAACATACCTATCAGAATGGCTAAAATAAAAAATAGTGACAACACCAAATGTTGGCGAGGGTTTGAAGAAACTAGATCACTCATATATTGCTTGTGAGAATGTAAAATGGTAGAGCTACTGTGGAAAACAGTTTTGTAGTTCTAAAAGTTAAACATGCGACTACCATATCACCCAGCAATTGCTCACTTTGGCATATACCCCAGAGAAATGAAAACTTGTGTATAGCAGCTTTATACTTAGTAGCCCCAAACTGGAAACCACCCAGATATCTTTCAACAGGTTAATGGTTAAACAAACTGTGCTACATCCAAACTTCAGAACACTACCCAGCAATAAGAAGGAACCAACTATTGACAGAAAGTAACAACCGGAATGAATCTCCAGAGAATTAGGTTGCGTGAAAAAAGAAAGTCCCCAAAAGCTATATACTGCATAAGTCCATTTATCTAACATTTTTAAAATGGGAAAGAAATGGAGCACAGATTAGTGGTTGCCTAATCTAAGAGGAGAGGGTGAGGGCTGGAGGGAAATGAGTATGATTATAAAAGGCAACACAAATGTTTTTGTGGTGATGGAAATGTTCTGAACCTTGATTGCATGGACATCATATTCTGGTTGTGACATTGTGCTATAAGTTTGCAAGATGCTACCACGGCAGATTGGATAAAGAATATATGGGATCTCTCTATATTATTTCTTACAACTACATCTTAAGGTACAGTTATCTGAAAATACATATATTTTTTAAATCAGGTAATTGGACAGGAACTAGAATTGAGCAAGATACCTCAGTTTTATTTTCTTACCTTTTCAAAGAAAAGCAAAAGCCCCAAAGCAGTGGGCAAGCTGGATCAGGAGTTTGCTCCATTTTGCACAGATCCAAGAAAAAAAAATAACTCGCCCACTAACTTAGCATTCAGAAACCACTGCCAGTGTTTTGCTATCCAATCTTGCCTATGTTGGAATTTTCTTTGCTGTTATTCCCCTTTATCCCTCATGTACTTTCTCAATCCACTAAAATTCATAATACACATATTCAAAACCAGAAGTGAGTTTGAAATAGCAGCTTGATACATCATGTATCTTTTTTTTTTTTTGAGACAGAGTCTTGCTCTGTCACCCAGGCTGTATGTAGTGCAGTGGCTCCATCTCTGCTGACTGCCACTTCCGTCTCCTGGGTTCAAGCGATTCTCTTGCCTTAACCTCCCGAGAAGCTGGGATTACAGGCATGTGCCACCACACCAGACTAATTTTTGTATTTTTTAGTAGTGATGTGGTTTTGCCACGTTGGCCAGGTTGATCTTGAACTCTTGGCCTCAAGTGAGGCTGCCTGCCTTGGTATCCTAAAGTGCTGAGATTACAAGTGTGAGCCATGGCATCCAGCCAATACATCCTGTATTTTTTAACGGATCTTTCATACCCTTAAGTTCACACTATCTAGGATAATTTTCAAAATCTTACAAAATGTCCACATCTTATTTGCGTAGAAATGGAATATTTAACATTTATTTTTACAAATGGGGTCTTGCAGTGATGCCCAAGCTAGAGTACAAGAGGCTATTCACAGGCACAATCCCCATGTACTGCACCCTTGACCTCCTGGGCTCAAGCGATCCACCTGCCTCCGGATCGATCTCAAGTCACTGAGACTACAGGTACCTGTATGGAGTAGAATTTATCCTTTGTGGTACTATTTTATGGATGACAAGGCAGGTGTTCTGTATTCTAAACTGGACCATACACTAAATAACGACAGAACTTTAATCGCCAACACACAGAGGAACTTGCCAAGTCCCCCTTCATGTTTGGAAAAATCACA